ATTGATAGTGGAAGAGATGAAGGTTTGGGCACAGCATATGTTAAAGATGACCTTACTATTAGGGTTTAAGGATAACCATGTCCCAGCAATTGGGAGGCAGAGGCAGGCAGATCTCTTTGAGTTCGAGGCCAGCCTGGTCTGTAGAGAGAGTTCCAGGACAGGCTCCAAAGCCAAAGAAAAAAAAAAACCCTGACAAAAAAAAAAAAAAAAAAAAAAAAAAAGATAACCCTAAGCAAAGGAAAGTTTCTGTCATTTTTATTTAAATATTTCGAATTTATGTTTCAAATAAATGTAATACTTTATAGCAATAATTTAAAAACTTAAAAAGTGGTGGTGGTCCACACCTTTAATACCAACACTTGCAGAGGCAGGCAGATCTTTGAGTTTGTGGCTAGTCTGGTGTACAAAGCAAGTTCCAGGACAGCCAGGGCTACACAGAAACCCTGTCTCAAAATCAAACCAAACCAAAAAAAAAAAAAAAAAAAACAAAAAAAAAAAAAAAAAAAAAAGCCAAACAAAACAAAAAACCCAGCTTACTATTGTTAGTTACTGTATTGTTCCTCAAGCAGCAATTTACCACCGAGTACTGTGTGGCTTAAGTAACACAAATTTGTTCTCTCTCAGTTCTAATGGCCAGAGTTTGTAAGCCTAGGTGTCAGCAAGTTTGCTTTCCCTCCAGAGGCTGCCAGAGAGACTCCTCTGGCCCTTTCTCACTTCCTGTGATGGCTAACTAATATAATAACTGCATTATGGCCACTTGATTCTAACCCCAGCCTTTTCTTCACCTTCTTTGAATCTGTTTTCACTATGTATCTTATAAATATACTTTGTTGTGTGGGATGTGGTGGCACACTAGTTAATAGCATCACTTGAGAGACAGATACAGTTGGTTCTCTGTGAGTTTAAGACCAGGTAGGGCTATAAATTGAGACCCTATCTTGAAAAATAAAGTATTTTGTTAAGACTGACTTGCATAATGTAGGTAATTTAATCACAAGATACCTAACCCTTTCACCAATAAAGCAATGTTCACAAGTTTTGAGAACTAGGGCATGAGCACGTTTTCAGTGGTCACCCTTGTCAGCCTACCCCAGGTACTTCTTCATTACTCTGAATATAAGATTTAAATCTTGGCTTTGTTCTATACTAACTTTGTAACTTTTCTCAAGCTAATTCATTTTTTGATATGTTAATATAGGAATTGATAACATACACAGCCGCCAGTATGTATTTTTGTATTTTATTTGCACAGAAAAATATGTAATGATACTAACCTAGTTAGTTAGATTCAGTTATATCTGGAAATAGAATTTCAGGAGTTTGAAATAGAAAGTAGAACTTACGCTTTCATTAGAAAATAGAAGAGTTGATCAAAATCTCATTAAATAAACTTAGTATAGTTTTAGGCACATAGAAAGATTTGCTTACTGTTATTAAATTTTAGAAGGGAATATTGAGAGAGAGGTTTTTCAATATGTGTTTAAGTGTTGTTTCCTCTTTGAAATTCTGAGATTTTAACATTTGAAAAGAATGTTTTAACTTTCATAGATGTTGAGACTAGAGCTTACTATAATCTCAGCCCTTATTGGTGGGCTGTGTAATTTTCCTGTTACATTTGAGTTGGCTTAGTGAAAGATTTGTGCTTTGTTTGTTAGAAAAGGCGTTTGCCTTAAGGAAGAAACTTTCAAGTAACATTTCTTGGTTATTTCAGCTAGCTTTATTATCTTCTTAAGACAATGAAGTCTGATTCTTAGATTCTTTAGTGGGGCTGTTCTGAATGTTTGCTGTTTATAACCAGTAAGTTTTTAGAAGAAGTGAGAAAATGTGTATTATGAAATTTTTGCAAGGCTTTAAAAAAAAAAACCGTTAACTATTAATGGTTTAACTTTGTATTTTCATATGTTCTGTGTAATATCATTGGCCAAATAAAAAAGACATAACACATACTGACAGTATACAGAGAAAGTGGAACCCTGTTGCATTCTTAGTGGAATTGTAATCATTTTGTAAAACAATGTAGTGGTTCCTCAAACATACTAAGCAAAGAGTTATGGAAAGACCTGGCAGTTCTTTCCTGGATTGAAGAAATTGGAGACTTGTGGATAAGATGCCTTGCAAACTGGAATTGTTTCTCCAAATCCAAGGGTTTTTGTTTGTTTTATTTTTTTTTCATGCTACACATTTTCCTGTTCCCCAACTCTTCCTGGATCCTCCTACCCTCCCTACCCACCCAGCTTCATGGTCACCCCACAAAACAAACAAACAAAAAACACCATAAGACAAAAAAGCAAAGGACAGAACAAACCATATAAGACAAAAACAAACCAAAAACCAATAAAGAAAGGAAGAAAGCAAGCAAGCCATAGAGTCGTGCAGAAGGAGGGAGAGCAGGGAAGACTCAAGCAGCTTGTTACACACCTATAATCCCAGGAAGACTATAGAGTGAGGTCCAGGATATAGTGTAAGGCTATTTCTAAAGAAACATAATAATAATAATAATAATAATAATAATAATAATAATAATAAAAAAGGCAGGAGCAGCCCCACTTGACAGTATATGCATACAAACAGAGTGTTACTCACAATGTTGTTCTTAATTGACAAAAGTGGGAAGTTCACCAGTTAATGAATGTAAACAAAATGTGACATACGTAAGCAGTGAATAATTATTCAGCAATTAAGTGAATGTAACTGAACGTTCAAAAGATTGCACTATTTGAAAAAAATAATTCACTCACAAAAACACATTTTGTTATTCTATCCTATCAAACATAGTAATTAGATAGATCCATAGGATTGGGGCAAAGGAGAGTGCTAGAACAGTGGCCATGTATCAGATGTGCTGTTTGGGGTAGGATGATGAAAATTGGTGGTGGTAATTGTTGCATAGTTTTGTGAATATGAATTGTACACTCTAAAGAGACATGGCCTTAAATATTACCTCTGATTTTATAGTTTGTCACCATCCAATACCACATTGAGCATTCATTTTCCTTCTGTTGCTCAATCATTTCAAGATTTATATTGTTTGTTTTTCTTAAAACATATTTTCTGCTGGGCGTTGGTGGCGCACGCCTTTAATCCCAGCACTAGGGAGGCAGAGGCAGGCGTATCTCTGAGTTCGAGACCAGCCTCGTCTATAAGAACTAATTCCAGGATAGGCTCCAAAGCCACAGAGAAACCCTGTCTCGAAAAACAAAAAACAAAAACAACAATAACAACAACAACAAAACATATTTTCTATGTACATTTGTTTATGTATACCATAGAGGCCAGAATAAGATATTAGATGGCCTGGAGCTGGGGTTCTCTACAGGCAGTTGTGAGCCGACTGATGTGGGTGTTGGGAAACAAATCTGAGTTATCTTGCGAGACCAATAAGTACTCTTAACTTCTGAGCCATCTCTCACTATTTATTTAGCTCAATTTTTTTTTTTTTTTTTTTTTTTTGTGGTAGGTTATAGGTGTTTTATTTTTCTGTTTTGTTTTTGCTTCAAGCTGATTGTATAGCAGTTCCTTCCCATATACATATACATGACACTTATGAAGATGAGGATATAAAACCAAAGTTAAATTGTGTTAATATTAGGACATTTAAGAGGACAGTGGCAGCCGGGTGTTGGTGGCGCCTGCCTTTAATCCCAGCACTTGGAAGGCAGAGACAGGCGGATCTCTGTGAGTTCGATCCCATCCTGGTCTACAAGAGTTCCAGGACAGCCTCCAAACTCCCCCCATCCCCCCCACCCGGTCTCCAAAACCCCCTCCCAAAAAAGAGGACAGTGGCATGTTGTACTCTAGGCATTGCATAATTCACTATGTATATTTCTTATTTGTTCTGTCAGATATCTGGCAGCACATCATGTGTCTTAAACCTTCCTGGTCTTAACCATGCAATATCATTTTGTTATAATTCTTTCAAGTCAAATATTTAAAAAGAAGACATTAGGCAATATATATTTTTCAGGAGTCGTCTCTAGGTTGTTTCTCAAATTGAACTTCATTGTTCTTCTTACATGAGATGTCTGAACCAACAATTTTCATCTTTCTCCTTAACTAACATAAACTAGTCATTGGGCTTGTAGAAGACATGAGTTTGGCTCCCAGTATCCATGTTGGGCAGCTCACAGTGCCTATAACTCCATCACTAGAGGATCTGATGCTGCTTTTGGCCTCCATGGACACTGCCCTCATATGTGTACACACACGCACACACACATGCACATGAACACACACCTTTTTTTCTTTTTTTAATAGAGTACTGGCTGCTCTTTAGAGGACCCAGGTTTGATAACTAGCACTCTCATGGCACCTCACAACTATCTGTAACCTCATTCCAGGGGACGCCACACCCACTTCTGTCCCCTGTGAGCACTAGTTATTGCATGCATGTAAAACATAAAATTTAAAATGTACTCATAGTGTTAAACTTTACAGAGCATAAAGATATGCCGTGATTTCAGTATAGTTAGTCTCAGGCTATATAAAACAGATAATGATGACATAGTATTCCACAGGGAAATCTTCAAAGTCCCTCTTGTACAGATAAGCATGGGTAAAACAATGGAAGAATTTTGAAGTGGAAATGGCTTTATTGTCTTCAGTTTAAATTTTTCACAACTTTCCACCATGTCGTATTGTTATTATTCACCTTCAAGTTTACCTTAGGACCATAGATACGACTGAGAGCCTTGGGACCTTATTCTAATTGATAGCATGATTTATTCATGACTTCCTGCTTCTTTAATTACTTCTATATATCAAACAATGAGAAGTAATATATACTAATACTCGCCCCTTCCCCGTCCTATCATCCTACACTAGAACTTTCTGAGGAAATAAACTGAAAAGGGAGACTGTTTGCAGGACAACTCCAAAGAGAAGATCCTCCCCTAAAGTGTTTGGTCACAGTTCTTAACAGGTAGCAGCATATGATCTGGGGAAGGAGTGGTGCTTGATATCAACTCTGATAACACAATTTTTCCTTGTCAATTTTTCCCTAGTATCATCTAGACTGTCACAGCCATCCTCTCCCCAGTCAGGCTGCCCATCACCCACCATTCCAGCAAGTAAAGTCATTTCTCCGTCACAGAAGCACAGCAAAAAGGCATTGAAGCAGGTAAGCATTAAGTCTGTGTTTATCAGAAGAATAATCTCTCCAACTAAAAGCAAAGCCAGGGCTGTTAACAGAGAAGCCGTGTGTGTGTGTGTGTGTGTGTGTGTGTGTGTGTGTGTGTGTGTGTGTTGGGGGGGTGCGTGCGTGCATGTGTGTGTGTATGTGTTGACCATATGTATATATACAAGTTTCCATGTCTATTGGCACACAGATGTGGGTGCATGTTCATGTTTCCACACTTTATATACATGAGTATTTGTGTGTTATACATGTTTCCATGACTGTGGACACACTGATGTTGGTGCATGTTAATGTCTCTACACTTTATATTTCTTAGCATGTGTGTATGTACATGTTTCCATGACAATGGACACACAAATGTGGGTACACGTTCATGTCTCCACACCTTATATCCAAATTTCTAAGATTTGGAAGAGTGAATTTTTTTTTGTTTGCTTGTGTTATGTGATGTGTTGCGTGTGTATATGTCTTCGCATACACATGGAGGTCAGAACAACTTTTAGGAGTCACTCTGATATTGAGGTTTGAAGATTGGTCCCTTTACCTACTGAGCCCTCTTTTCTTTTTTCTTTTTCTTTCTTTTTTTTTTTTTTTTTGTTCTTCCGTGACAGGGTTTCTCTGTGTAGCTTTGAAGCCTATCCTGGCCCTCGCTCTGTATACCAGGCTGGCCTCGAACTCACAGAGATCCGCCTGCGTCTATCTCCCGAGTGTTGGGATTAAAGGCTGTGCCACCAACGTCCGGTCCCTCTTTCTTTTTAAATGGTCATTCTAAATAAGATCATATTAACTCTATTAATTAAGATCCTCTTAAGGGCTGGAGAGATGGTTCAGGGGTTAAGAGCACTGACTGTTCTTCCAGAGGTCCTGAGTTCAATTTTCAGCAACCACATGGTGGCTCACACCACCTTAAATGAGATCTGGTGCCCTCTGCTGGCATGCAGCCAGAAGACTGTATACATAATAAAAAATAAATAAAATCTTTAAAAAAAAAAAGAACCTCTTAGAAATAAAAAGGACCTAAAGCCAGGTGGTGGTGGCGTCTCACGCACGCCTTTAATTCCAGCACTCCCGAGGCAGAGGGATGTGGGTCTCTTGGAGGCCAGCATGGTCTACAAGAGTGAGTTCCAGGGCAGCTAGGGCTGTTACACAGAAAAACCCTGTCTCTAAAAAACTCAAAGTTTCGGGGAATAAAGACTGTCATTTGGGCAAATCTCTTTACTCTTACTCAAGGTAATTCAAATACTTTTTAAAATGAACCATCTGTGTGGCTGGATAGATGGCTCAGAGGTTAAGAGCACTGATTGCTCTTCCAGAGGTCCTGAGTTCAATTCCCAGCAACCACATGGTGGCTCACAACCATCCGTTATGAGATCTGGTGCCCTCTTCTGGTGTGCAGATATACATGGATACATAAGAAATAAAAAATCTTAAAACAAAAAACAAACAAACAAACAAAAAAAACGAACCATCTGTGAAGTATAAATAATACAGATATTTGCCTTTTCTCATAGAATCAATACATATTGAACTCATACTGGTACATGACTTAGAATTCTGCTTTCAGAAATGATAGAAGTGTGTAATTCTCTAACTAGAAAACTGTAAATTCCTTGCCTTACTGCTGACTTTAAGTTCTGGGGGTATATACAGTTATATATAATGGAATAAGCTTGGGTCTCTCCCCAATGTACCCAAATTCTATAGGTCATTTAGACCTTGAGTCAGTTTTATTAAGTTTAGGGTGTTGTTTGTATTGAATAGATGTCAGAATAAGTTATCGCCATAACTGATGTCACTCACTTACTGAAAAGCAGTTTGCTTGTTTCTTACTGCCAGTTTTTCTTTATAGGCCCTAAAACAGCAACAACAGAAGAAGCAGCAGCAGCAGCAGCAATGCAGGGCAAGCATGTCCATCTCCAATCAACACCTCTCTCTCAAGACCGTCAAAGCAGCCAGTGACACTCTACCTGCCAAACCTGGTAGGCAGTTTGACTATTCTTCCCTCCCCAGTGGAATTTTCTGTTTCCTAACATATTTGTACTTTTGATGTTGTAAATTTTTATACTGTATTGTTTTTTTTAAATTGCTATTTTTTCTAGCATAACCTTTCTGCTGCTACAAAACTGATATAAATTGTAGGATAAGGTCTGATGGTCATGGCACACGCCTTTAACCTCAGCACTGAGAGGCGGAATCAAGCATATCTCTGAATTCAAGGCCAGCCTGGTCTATATAGAGCTTGCTCTAGGACCACAAAGCTACACAGAGAAACCCAGTCTCAAAAAACAAAACAAAAAGCAAAAACAACAAAATCTAGGATAAATAGGAGATATTTTAATATAAAATTACCATGTAGTTGATTAAAAGTACAGGATTGACATTTGGAAGCCTATATTCATTAACTTTATAAATCTGTTGTTTCCAAAGTCAAAGTGACCTTTGTCTCTGCTGGTGCATATGTGTGTGTACATACATGTTAAGGTCAGAAGATAGCCTCATGTCATTCCCCTGTACCATCTGTGTTCTGTTGGCTTTGTTTTTTATATCATTTTAGACAGTCTCTCTCACTGGCCTGTGATTTGTGGGTCTAGGGTAAACTGGCTGACCAGCAAACTTCAGGAATCCTCCTGTCTCCACTTCCTGCACTGGGATTGCAAGTGTGCTGTACTGACTTTGGCTCTTTATGGGGTTTCTGAGGATCCAACTTAGGTCCTTATGCAAACTTATGCAACAAGTACTTTTTTGACTTTGCCATCTATGCAGCCCCAAAGTGAGCTCTTTACCAATGTTCTCATTTAAAATATGAAGATGGGGCTGGAGAATGGCTCAGTCATTAATAATATGTACCGATCTGATTCCATCTTCTGGTATCTCTAGGTACTGGGCATACAGGTCCGGCAATAACATACATGCAGAAGAAAACTCACACATAAAATCAAAATGAAAAGTGAAAGATTAAGTATGCAGGCTTTTTAGAAATGTATACTCTTTAGTTTCCATTGATATGTTTCATGGACTGTATATGTTGTTTCTTGCTTTGTTTTTAACTTTGTTTTGCCATAGATTTTGTTTTTCATTTTATAATTCAATTGAATACTATAAGCTGATTTTAGGAACTGCCATGAAAGTCAAAGGCCTAAGTCTTACACATGTTTTCATTTTTATTAGAAAAAATTTATTAGCTGGGCGTTGGTGGCGCACGCCTTTAATCCCAGCACTCGGGAGGCAGAGGCAGGTGGATCTGTGTGAGTTTGAGGCCAGCCTGGTCTACAGAGCAAGTGCCAGGATAGGTAGTTAAGCTCCAAAGAGAAACCCTGTCTCGAAAAACAAAAACAAAAAAACAAAAAAAAAAAAAAGAAAAGAAAATTTGCTACTGGAAATAAATGATGTGAGAGAAGAAGTAAGAGATTTTATTTCACAAAGCACTCAAGGGGCCTGCATTTCTTCACTTACAATTTCTGTAGTTACCTTGGAATAATGGTTTGACTTGAATAATGGTTTGATGTTTTTATTTTTTAAATTATTATATTTGTTGGGGTGTGGGGCTTACTTGAGGGAGTCAGTTTTCTCCGACTATAGATAGTCTGCCTCACTGTCTTGCTTACTCCTTGCTTATGAGTCTTGGTATCATCCATCATCATATTTTTCCCTTAGCGCTATGGGAAGGAAAGCAATCTGATGGACAGTCGAGCAGTCCCCAGAACTCAAACTCCAACTTTTCTTCTTCAGTGAAAGTGGACAGTTCTCTTCTAGGCTTGGGGAAGAAGTCTTTTCAGAGATCTGACAGACTCCACACAAGTAAGTTAGTTTATAAAGACTTCTGTTTTCAGTGCAATGATGTGTACACAGTATGTTTAAAATTCGTCAGCTACTGACTTGAGTTTAATGTATAATTTGAATTTTATTTTAAAAAGCCAGGTGTGGTTTCTTCTTCCTTCCTTCCTCCCTTTACTTGAGGTACTGCACGACAAGCTATGGTTATGACTAAAACTGTGAAAGGAGAGCCAAATGTTAAATTATTATTTTCTAAATTTTGTAGGACAAATGAAAAGGACTAAATGTGCTGACATCGATGTTGAGACACCCGACTCCATTCTGGTTAATACTAATCTTCGAGCACTTATTAACAAGCACACCTTTTCAGTTCTCCCTGGAGACTGCCAACAGCGCCTGCTTTTACTGCTTCCAGAGGTGGATCGACAGGTGGGTCATGTCACACATGAGCGGTTTTCTAAATGAATGAGGCTTCTGGCATTCATCACCTTTAGAACTTCATAAGGTTTTGTTTTTTTAAGATAGTATCTCATGTATTCTACTCAGGACTTAACTTACTATGTAAGGTTTACTTCTGAGTGTTGGGTTACAGGTATGGGTCACCATGTATTTGTATATGTGTTGCTAGAGATAAAATCCAGGGCTTATTTTTGCTAGGCAAGCACTCAGCTGAGTTACATGCCTAATTCTCAAAATTGTAAAAGGCTCTTTTTATGTATTCCTATAAATGTGTGGTATTATTGGTACTGTTGTATGATTTTCCTTGGAAAGCTATGAAGAAACATACCAGATAAAGTACCACTAATCAACAAAAGAAAAACCAAACCAAACAAACATAAAATACTATGAAAGGAAGGTGTTTTCCTTGTATGTAGTAACAGACTTTCTTCCCTTGTTTATAGGAAGAGATTCATAAGGTAAACTGCACAAGTCATTTTAGCTAATTGACTACATAGTCAAAATGAAGTCTTTCTTGTTCTGAAATCTTTGTTTGTTTGTTTTGTTTTGTTGTTGAGACAGGGTTTCTCTTTGTAGCACTGGCTGTTCTGCAATTTGCCCTGTAGATCAAGCTGGCCTCAAACATAGTTCCTCAAGTCTCAGAAAAAAGTCTGTTTTCTCTGAGACTTGCTTTGATACCAGTTTCTTAGTGCTATAATCAGCATATGTGATTGGTCATGTGCTTTTGGATAATTGAGATAATTGGTATTCTTGTAGCAAGCAATAGGGACTAAAGGAGAGCTATTCTCGGTGACTGCAGAACCTGTCCTGGAACTCCCTCTGTAGACCAGACTGGCCTGGCAATTCAGAGATCCACCTGTCTCTGCCTCCTGAGTGCTGGGATTAAAGGCATGTGCCACTATCTCCTGGCTCCAGCATGGTTTTTTAAAGGACCTGGTTGACATCATGGCTGCTCTTTTCTGTATGTGTCCTATGTTTTGTGTTGTTCCCATCCTCCAAGTGGAAGTGTTGGGGGAATCATAAGCTAGAAATAATATATGAAACATAACTAATAACCTATTTGTGCAATTCTGATACTGTTTTCTGAGAAGCATTGATGACCCTTTCTGTCTTCTGATAGAAGATTGCCACATGTAGTTTATTGTGGTAGTGGTTTTAAAGATACTCTTTAATTTTATGAGTGTTTTACATGTGTATGTGCAATATATGTGTACGTGATGCCTAAGGTGGCCCGAAGAGGATCCTGTATCTCCTGGAACTATAATTATGATGGCTAAAGCTGCCATGTGAGTTCTGGGGGCCAAACCTGTGTCCTCTGCAAGAGCAAAAAGTAGTCTTAACCACTACCCATCTCCGTCTTATCTCCTGCCATGTGAAACCCCCCCCCCCCCTCGGTTTCTCCATTTAACAGCTCTGACTGTCCTGAAATTAACTCTGTAGGCCAGGCTGGCCTTCAACTCACAGAGATCCTCCTGCCTCTGCCTCCCAGGTGCTGGAATTAAAAGTGTGCACCTGCACACCCACACCCACCTATCATCCTCATCCCCGGCGCCATGTGTACCTTTAATAAAAGGAGCCCTAAAAGTTTTCTAGTTGAAATTCTCCCAGATGGCAATCCTACAGGTTTTTTTTTTTTGCTTATTTATTTGTGTTTTTCTGTAGGAAGCTAGTTGGCCAGTCTTTGAGCTATGGGTATAAGTAATGAGAGAGATACTGAGAAGACACAGTTTTAATTAAGTGAACTTGTAGCTGAAGTTACCATGTGTTCAATGTGGATGTTTATGTTGAGAATGCTATAAACAAAATTTGTTGTTGTTGTTATTTTGTTTCTTTTTGTTTTTTCAAGACAAAATTTCTTTGTGTGGCTTTGCAGCCTGTCCTAGAGCTAGTTCTGTAGGCCTGGCTGGCCTTGAATTCACAGAGATCTGCCTGCCTCTGCTTCTCAAGTGCTCGAATTAAAGGCAGGGGCCATGACTGCCAGGCTTGTAAACAAAGTATTTTCGAACATGATTTGAGTGGCACTTTTTAAAAATAGTATTTTAAATAAGAGTTAGATTTTTTTTAAAGAAAGATAGAAAAATTCAGATCTTTAAATGTTTAGATTTTTTTTTTCCCATTTAATAATTGTCCCATGGCCTGTGGTTTAGTGGGTAAAATGATTGGCCATTAAGCCTGACAACCTGAGTTCAATCCTTGTACTCAGCATCTCTAAAAAAAAAAAGGAAGAAAATGATAAGTACAGCTAGACAACGTGGCACATTTCTTTAATCCCAGCAGTTAGGAGACAGACCTCTGTGAGTTCGAGACCAGCCCGTGCTGTATAGTAATAACTTGTTGCAAACAAATAAAACAGTAAAAGTACTAGTGCATTCATCTCTGCCAGGATGTTTGTTGCAGCTTTATTAATTATGGGAAGACATTGGTCACAAAGTACTTGTTTATCATTAGGAAATATGTTTACCATTATTTGGAACAGATCATATAATGAATGAATTATATATGAAATAATGAATATGCAGCAATTTCAGAGAAGCTAAACATATGCCAGTTGACTTGAATAGACTTTCACAGTGTACTCTGTGAGAAAACTAAAGTTACAGTGTGTTATATATAATTTGGTCCCAATTCTGTAAAGAAAATAATAAACTCTGCTAAGAAGAAACTACACATGGATTTAAGTATCATTCAGTGAGCATTATTTTTTTATTATTGTGGAATGGAGCTGAAAGCAGAGAATGGAAAAGTGATATGGGAGAGGTTTTCTTTTATTTAAGGAGAAACTCGTATTATGGTTTAAAGAAAATAGTAAATGAGCTAGCCATGTTTGGGTGAGTCTCTGTCTGTGTCTCTCTCTCTGTCTGTCTGTCTCTCTCTCTCTCTCTCTCTCTCTCTCTCTCTCTCTCTCTCTCTCTCTCTCATGTGACAGGGTTTCCTCTGTAGCCTAGGCTGTCCTGTAATTCACTCTGTAGACCAGGCTAGCCTTGAATTCACAGAGATTACTTGCCTCTGCTTCCTGAGTGCTGAGATGCCATGTTTTTATGGGATGGACTGTGCATACATTCTCTTGTAACATGAAATAAATGTCATCACACCCTTTGTTTGAACATTTTCTTTGGCTTGCTCTTTGACCTAGGTTGGTCCAGATGGTTTGATGAAATTGAATGGTTCAGCCCTTAACAATGAGTTCTTCACTTCTGCAGCTCAAGGCTGGAAGGAAAGGCTCTCAGAAGGTAAATATTCTGCCCTGTGGCTCCCACTATCTGTGTGCCTATGTACTGGAACAGTCAGGTCTGTCTAGAGGAACAGAACTTATAGAATGAATGTCTACAACGGGGGTTAGGATGGTTTTCTGGGGTCCAGCTAATTAATCTATCTACCAATGGAAGGTCCAAGAATTCATTAGTTTTTCATTATATGCCAGAATCCCAAAGTAGGCTATAATGCCAGTGAAGGGATGGACTTTCCACAAGCACAAGCACAAACTTAGAGTGAAAGCTTCCTTCTCCCATGTCCTTTATATAGGCTGCCACCAAAAGGTGTGGCCCAGATTAAAGGTGGGTCTTCCCACATCAAATGAGTTAAGAAAAAAATAAAAAAATTCTTCACAGTTGTGCCCAGCCACTTGGGGTTTAGTTAATTCCAAATGTAGTCAAGTTGACAACCAAGAACAGCCTTTATAGTGAAGGTCAAGAAGTTTCCTAAACATAGCTTTTCTGTCCTGTGTGAAGTGTTTTGACAGACACCTATCTATAGCCCCTTGATTGAGTCCAGTTGAGAAACAAAAACATACATTTTTTTAGTTGTGAGCCATTTCTTTAGTACTGTTTTAAGGTTTCAATGCACCATTTCTAACCTCTCTGATTCAGTATTGTAGTGTACTGTCAGCTCCAGTGTGAAGGACAGGAAGGGAAAAGCTGAGTACACATACTATAGAATCCACTCTTTTTAAGTGATGGAACTCGCTCTGTAGACCAGGCTGACCTGGAACTCAAAGAGATCACCTGCTGCTGCTTCCAGAGTACTGGGATTTAAGGTGTGTGCCACTGCTGTCTGGCTCTGGAATCATTTATTTAGTTATTGTCTTAGTTACTTTTCTATTGCCCTGACAAAACATCATGACCAAGACGTCTTACAAAAAAAAAAAAAAAAGCATTTAATTGGCATCTTACAGTTTCAGATCGATTATGCCTAGGAGGATTATCAGAAACAGGCAGATCTCTGAGTTTGAAGCCAGCCTGGTCTACAGAGCAAGTTCCAGGGCTACACAGAAACTCTGGTGGAGGTGGGGTGGGGAGAAAAGGCCTCAAGCACAGTTTTCTCTGAAGAAACCCAACTTTGGAATGGCAAGATATTCAGTGGCATTATTTACTGAAAGCATGATTGCCACTGCTCTAATTAGCATTGGGACTTGGAGAATGGAGCTGATAAATGAGGAGGTCTGAAGTCTCATGCAATAGCCAGTTTTAGTCATAGCATCAGACAGTTTATAGTCTAAGGATAAAGAGGAGTCACATGGGAGGCCGGACGTTGGTGGCGCACGCCTTTAATCCCAGCACTCGGAAGCAGAGGCAGGCGGATCTCTGTGAGTTCGAGGCCAGCCTGGTCTCCAGAGCAGTGCCAGGACATGCTCCAAAGCTACACAGAGAAACCTTGTTTCAAAAAAACAAACAAACAAAAAAAAAAAAAAAAAAAGAGGAGAAGTCACATGGGCAAGCTGCATGTGGCAGGCAAGCTGAATACAGCCAATTTTAATGACTAATCTGAAGTAAACTCACTCTACTACACCTGAGAGGGACACAAAAGCATAATCCAAGAACAACTTGTGCTTTTGAAGAAACTGAGGTCACAAGACTTGTTTTCTTGGAGTTTGCTCACAAGTATTGAGAATTCTCCTCACATGACTCCATTCTTAGACTATGTTCCAACATACATTTATTACTTTCATTCCATTAGGAAATAAACTAAAAATTTGAGGTTAGAGGTAAAAAGAAAATTGTATGGTATATGATGTTTGTAATTGGAAGAAGATACTTTTGCACACACCTGGAGAACAAGTGTTGTGTACCTTAGCTGCATATTGAAAACTAAAGGGTAGTATGTGACTGCCTGGACTCCACCTAGTGGCGTTTCTGTCTCCAGTCTGGCTAGGTTCTTTGGGAGGCTTGTTGTGTTGACATGATAGTATTCATGAATAATGGCTTTCTGTTTGTGTCATTGTGTTGATGCCTCGTAGGTGAATTTACCCCTGAAATGCAGGTGAGAATTCGGCAAGAGATTGAGAAGGAGAAGAAAGTAGAGCCATGGAAGGAACAATTCTTTGAAAGCTACTATGGTGAGAGGTAAGAGAAGGCAGACTCTCTAGTCCAGATATTAATCCTCCACATGTCATGTGATGCCTCCAGGTTTTGACCTTACTAGATAGTCTAGTGTCTAGTTTCCTGTAATTTTTATCACATTATTTTTGTGTGTGGGGGGGCACTTTTTGAGACAGGGTTTCTCTGGCTTTGGAGGCTGTCCTTGAACTTGCTCTGTAGACCAGTATGGCCTTGAACTCACATAGATCCACCTGCCTGTCCCTCCTGAGTGCTGGGATTAGAGACATGCATCAATACTTCCTGGCCACATTAATTCTTTTTCATTCAGAACACTGACAGAATTTTATCACTCATAATCCTGGTTCCTAAACTTCCATCATTGGCAGAGTAGGTTCCTTTCACTTAAAAAAAATGGATTGGGAGTTTTTCTTCTCTTTTTAATCTAAAGTCTTTCCTTTTAACAGATTGGCTTCTGGTAATTTCATGAGCTAGAATAATATTTGAGAGTTCTGTCTAACATGTAACTTACTCAAAACCAGTCGGAAATCCTAAGAATCATATAATGTGGGCCATTATACCAAGCATGTAATTAAAATCCTTTCCTCTGTGACTGGGAGATGTGCATAACTAAATCAAGACACAGATTTTGTTTTTAAAGGGCTGGTGTGTGAAATAATTTTTTTTGGGGGGGGGGGTGCATTTCGAGACAGGGTTTCTCTGTGGCTTTGGAACCTGTCCTGGAACTAGCTCTTGTAGACCAGGCTGGTCTTGAACTCACAGATATCCGCCCGCCTCTGCCTCCCGAGTGCTGGGATTAAAGGTATGCACCACCACCATCTAGCAATAATTTTTTTTTTAACAACCAAAAATCAAATCAAAATGAAATTGTACCAGAGACATTTAATTGTTAACAGAGCCACTTGGTTTGAATAGGATTGTGCATTCTAACCCCTCTCTGTTAGTGTCTCTTTACATACCAGTGAAAGCCAATCAGAGGACTCTATTGATCATAGACTGAGAATAAGGGCTTTTTTTTGGCCCCAAGTAGTGTTCATTGATTCCCTTCCTTCTTAGTCACTTAAGATAGACCCTACTGAAAATAAGAATCTCAAATGCTAGCCCAGCCATGGTGGCGCACACCTCTAAAGCCAGGACTCAGGAGGCAGGCAGATCTCTGAGCTTGACACCAACCTGATCTACAGGATTCAGGACAGCCAGGGCTACAAAGAGAATAACCCTGGCTAGAAAAAAAAACCAAAAAGTCTGAAATGCTGATTTTCCTGTAGTAAGCTATTAGATTGGTGGTGAGTGTATTATTGTAAGTTAGAGTGATTCTGTGGGTTGCGTGTGCTGCAGTGTGCTTTTGGAGACCAGAAGACAGCTTTTGGGAGTTGGTTCTCTCTACCATGTGAGCTCCCTGCTTTGAACCTAGGTGATCAGGGAAGCATCCTTTTCTTCTGAGACAGACATCTTCTGGCCCTAGATAGACTGTTTTTTGGTTTTTTGTTAACTAATTCTTTTAAGGTGAGAGGGTTTAATTGATTGTTGCTTAGAAAAAGAAGAGGAAGAAAGGAAGGAAGGCAGGCAGGCATTAAGAAGACTAACTGGTGTCACTTTTTGCCAGGCCATGCTGTGCACGTCACAGCTGACTTTTACTTCTGGATAGCTCAGCAGTGGCATCCTCAGAACTTTGGATCTGGCCTGAGTGTGATATCAACAGGCTCTCTACAAACTCACTCCTGGTTTGAGCTTCTGAAGAGCATTAATAACTTTGCTGCTGTCTTCTCAGGTTCGCTCTGAAGGCTTGGGTCAGGCTTTCCACAAACACTAATGAACAGAATTGATCACAGTTCTTGTGGGTAGCCTGAGACTCTCTAGATAATGTGGCTCCTATAGAAACAGAACTGGCAGTAACAGCTACCACTATCGAACTTTTACTGTGTGCCAAGTGAGAACTTCACCTGGAGTAACTTCATCATAGCAAGGTGCAGAAGCCTAAGTCAGTCAGTATCTTGTCTACAATTGTTACCAGAGCCAGAATTTAAATTTAATTATTTTGGCTCAGGAGTTCTACAGAAAATTCTATGTGTCTGGGGTTTCCTAGTTGCTGATGTAGTCTACTTTTCTTATGTATTAAGTAATGTGGACTGTTTCCCAACTAACAACATTTCCTTCAATTTTTTAGTTCTGGGTTAAGCCTTGAAGATTCACAGAAATTGACAGCTTCCCCTAGCGATTCCAAAGTAAAGAAAACCCCAGCTGAGCCACCAAAATCCATATTTCCTTCAGAGTCCTCTCCTGTCAGAATCATCCCAGTAGTTCCCCAGTCAGAGTGTAAAGAAGAAGCAGTGCAAATACCATCACCATTCAGAAAAGAAGAAAGCCAAGATGAGGCACGACCAAACTCTAAATCCCCAGAACCCGGCCTTGAGTCAGCCAGCAACACAAATGAGCTTAACACCATGAAGTCTGTCAAGTGCCCTAAGGATGAGGGGCTCTTAGAGCAGAAGCCAGTTGTCTGTGCTGAACAAGAGTCTGAGAAAGAAAATCATGTCACCACAACTTCTAATTATAACAAAAGTGAGAACCAAGAAGTGTCAGCTACATCCCCAAGCAAATCTAAAAATGCTGGGTTAGAAAAACCTGTAACAAAGCTTGATGCAGAAGCAGGTTCACTGGACCCCGATGTGAAGATGCCTCCTGCAACTCTTACTGATCAGATCCCAGAAAGTCTCAAAAGGAAATCATCTCTTATCCAAGAAGAGACCACTAGCAGCTGGGAGAAAAGACCACGTATCACTGAGAATCACCAGCACCAGCAGCCATTTCAGGTCTCACAACAGCCCTTTCTTAATAGAGGGGACAGGGTCCAAGTGCGAAAAGTACCACCTCTCAAGGTAAGATAGTGGTTGTACCTACTAAGTTTCATAACTTGTGCTATTAACATAGAAACAGTAGCATATATTTAATATACATATAACTGTGGTATTATAGAGATAGTAATAACCAGACTTTAGAACTGCACCCTTCCCCCCCTTCAATTTCTTCCTTGATACTTGAATAAGGAGTCTGAGTATGCAAGCCACTCCATCCCCTGACACTCTTCTTTGAGGCAAAGTCTCAATACATAACTCAGACTGGCATTGAATTCTCAGGCTTTCTGTTGCTGCTTCTTGAGAGTGAATTACTTACCCAAAACTTTTCTTTAGTTAATGTCAATCACAGAGGAATTCATATGTTGTTATTGTTTTTTTGTTTTTTATTTTTGTTTTATGTTTTTCTAGGGTCTCACTGTGTAGGTAGTCCTGGCTGTGCTAGAACTAGTTTTATAGACCATGCTAGCCTTGAACTCACAGAGATCCACCTGCCTCTGCCTCTGCCTCTCGAGTACTGGGATTAAAGGTTTGGGCCTCCACCTCCTGGCTCAGAAATGAATTCTAGACCTAGGAACCATATTACATTTTGGTTTACTCCATAATGGTTCTACACTGAACACTTGAATCCACTCTGATCAGATTAATAGTTTCTCCTTGAGAGGATTTTGTCAGAAGTCGTTTAATTCTTTTACTTTGTACCCTGTCTAGCTTTTTATAGACAGAGTGTAATATAATTTATAACAGAATATAATGTTTTAGGTGTTTGTTTCTACATGCATATAATATCAGCACTGGAAAGATAATGAATTTGCTAGCTCACCGAGGCCTTGTCTCATAACAACAACAACAAAAAAACTATAAATAAATCTGAATTTTAGTATAAATGTTACAACTTGATGTATTTTGTTTGTTTCATGTTATATTTAAAGTAAAACATCAAGCTGGGGGGTGGTGGGGCATTTTCTTTAATTCCAGCACTCAAGAAATAGAGGCGGGCAAATCTCTGAGTTCAAGGCCAACCTGGTCTACAGGGAATTACAGCACAGCTGAGGCCACACAGAGAAACCCTGTCTCTTAAAAAAAATAAATAAATAAAATACAAGAATCTAATGACTTTGCTATGTGTCCACTTAGTTTTGTTATCCCTTCCACCATAGAATGGTTTATATTCTTAAAAGCAAAATATAACATCTCATTAATGCTTCATGAACACAAAAAGAATTGAAATTTAAAAGTAAGAAAACTTTTTTAACTGCTTTGCTTAATTTCAATATGTTAATACTGATGGCTTTTAAGTTATCGTATATTATGTTAGGTAAGGTGACACTCTCAGTGTTATGAGCCTGGTGTAATGACACATTATCTGTAATTCCCGTACTTGGGAGGATCACAAGTTTGAGGACATCCTTGGTCTACAATAACATACACTCCATACATGCATATACCCCCAAAAAGAAAGTGAGAGAGAGAGAGAGAGTGTGTGTGTGTGTGTGTGTGTGTATACACACCTAGTACTGTATGGCCTTATGCTTAAATTACCTAACTAAGGTCATTTTTCCCCCAAATAAATTTCTTGCTTTTTATTTTAATGTCTTATCTATTTTTCTCCCATAGTCGCTTCTCTATATTAACAAGAGTCAATAATTGCTTCTTTTTCCTCCATGCCTCTTCTAAGCTACCATGTGCTGAGTAAAAATGCTGTCTAAGCTTTGACAACCAAGTATTAAGCATACTTCTGTTTGTTTTGTTATATATATAATATATTTTGGGGGGGCGGGGGTTTGAGACAGGGTTTCTCTTTGTGGCCTTGAACTCAGAGATCCTCCTGCCTCTACCTCTCAAGTGCTGGGATTAAAGGTGTGTACACCACTGTCCATCTAAACAAACTTAACTTTTTAAGTGCATGAATTTTGTGATAACTGTTACAAAATATCACTTTGATTTCTAAAGAGAATTGATTTTTAATAATTATGACTTTCTGAGTAACAAAAAATAGTGACTTCACAATTTATAATTGAAGAATTTATAGAAACATGGCATAATTTTCTTGGAGTTTAATCACTTAATTTTTTGAAATTAAATGCTCTAGAAAGTTAACAATTTTTCCTTCTTTAGACTGAGCCAGATACTGAAAAGGTCCATATCTGAATACACTGTAGTAATTTCCTTAACTTCTAAAGTTTTATTTAGGACAGGGATCAGATTGTTTTATGATGTAGAAAATCAGTGGCTTCAGTTGAGCATAATGACACATGGTTTTATGTTTAATAGCAGAGGCAGGTGGATGGATCTCTGTGTGTTCCAGGATAGCTAAAAGTACATAGTGAGACTGTCTAAAATAAATAAATAAATAAATAAATAAATAAATAAATAAATAAATAAATAAATAAATAAATATCAATGGTTTAACAGTCAGTAGTTTATTACAAATTTTTTTTCTTTACTACAATACTCATTTTTCTAGCCACTCTGATTCATAAATTGGGTGATTAGACCCAAAAATACATGCATTTTAAAAAGTTTACACAAATAAGGGCAGTATTTACCAAAGGGTGAAAATTCCTGGCAGACATTATGTATGTGATCCCTTATGTGGGTAGACAGAGTAGGGTTGAACCCTCAACACATGTGTATTCTTAGTCATAGAGCAACCATGTATTTCATGGGTGCATTGTGCCCATCTGCTCTAGTTAGATCTGAAATTGATCTCTGCTCCCCTCCCCTCCTTTTTTCAGATCCCAGTCTCCAGAATCTCCCCGATGCTGTTTTCTACATCGCAGGTCTCTCCCAGGGCTCGTTTTCCAATCTCCATCACTAGTCCTTACAGAACAGGAGCCAGAACTCTGGCAGACATCAAAGCAAAAGCCCAGTTGGTCAAAGCACAAAGGGCAGCAGCCGCAGCAGCCGCTGCAGCTGCTGCAGCCGCCTCAGTTGGAGGGACCATCCCAGGACCTGGCCCTGGGGGTGGACACAGTCCACAAGAGGGTGGAGAGAGAAAAACTGCTAGAGGAGGGAGTCCATGCTCAGACAGAGCCAGTACAACTGGAAAGGGTCCCACACTGGAACTGGCAGGAACTGGAAGCAGGGGAGGTACGAGAGAGCTTTTACCCTGTGGCCCCCAACTTGAGACCAATACACCAAGCCAAGCACAGCCTCCTGGTGTCTTTGGAGCACAACTACAGCAAAACTCCTCCGTGCCTACAGCACTTGCCATCAGTGGAACATGCACAAACACCCCATTACCAGCCCACCTAGAGAAATCAAACAGTGAAAAACTGAACTCCCCTAAGGCAACATCCACAGTACCCTCTCCTTGCCACTCTCAAGACCCAAGTAGTTGCAGACAGGAGAAAGCTTCTTGTCCAGAAGGACCTGCTCTGATCTCAAGAGCTTCACCTGTTTGTTTTATAGTTGATGGCACAGTTGAGCCCAAAGCAGGCTCTAATAAGAATGCACCAAAGCCTTCAGCCTCAGCAAAGGTAGCTGCTTCTGCTCGACTGGATATGACTCCCCACCCTGTAACATCCTTATTGACAACGGCCAGTTTAGAAAAACTCTCTGTGCCCCAGGTCAGTGGAACTGCACTATCTACTGGATCAGCTTCATCCTCAAGCACTTTGCCAGCAGCTTCTAGCCTTAAAACCCCAGGAACTTCTGCATATATAAATGGACCCATTTCAAGACCAAGTTCTAGTATCCCTGCTAATAACCCTTTAGTTACTCAGCTGCTCCAGGGCAAAGATGTTCCCATGGAGCAAATTCTGCCTAAACCTCTCACCAAAGTTGAAATGAAAACAGTCCCACTGACTACAAAAGAGGAGAAGGGGATAGGAGCATTCCCTGGTACCAATGTAATGGAAAGTAACACCAGAGAGGAAGTTAATGGCAGGCAGGCCTATTTGGCCATCCAGCAGTTGTGGAAACCCTTTCAGAGTAAGCAGCTTTCCCAGGTCCCAAGGCCAGTCTTCGAAGCTAAGGACCTGAGGGACTCTTGCATTGACACTCACCAATACCCAGAAGGACTAAGTAAAACAGCTCAAGATCAGCTTTTTCAGACCTTTATCCAGGGGTCTCAGAGGCTTTCATTTGTGCCACCCTCTCAGTTTGACTTTGCTCACTCAGGTTTCCAGTTGGAAGAAGTAGCCACAAGCCAGAAATTCATGTTGGGCTGTCCTGGCAGAAGGACATCCAAGCCTGCAATGGCGGGTCACTATTTACTTAATATTTCTACCTATGGCAGGGGTTCAGAGAGCGTTAGGAGGACCCATTCTGTAAATCTTGAGGAACGATTTTGTCTAAGTAGCCCCACTGAAGATGTGAAAATGGGATATGCAGATTGTAAAAACACAACTGGAGACAGCAGCAGCAGCAAAGAAGATGAAACTGATGAAGAGAATGTGAGTGATGAGCAGAAGCCTGTGTCAGTGAAGGAGGAGCCCTGGGATGCTCAAAGCTCTGGCAAGCATCCCCACAGTGGGGAAACTGTGTCCTCCGGTGATTGTTTAGCTAGCAAGAATGGTAAAGCTGAGGCACCAACGAGTGAGCAAATCACTTTAGGCAAGGAGAATTACATATTCTCTAGAGGCCAAACATTTGATGAAAAGACCCTAGCCAGAGATTTTATTCAGGCAGCACATAAACAAATGGCTCATGCTGTGAGAGCTAAGACAGTATGTAGCAGCCCCGAGCTTTTCAATTCTACTGCTCTTTCTCTCCCTGCAGACAGTCCCACGCATCAGCCTCTGCTCCTTCCACCACTGCAAACCCCCAAATTGTATGGAAGCCCCACACAGATAGGGCCAAGTTATAGAGGCATGATCAATGTCTCCACCTCATCAGACATGGACCATAGCTCTGCTGTACCAGGTAGCCAGGTATCTAGCAATGTAGGGGATGTAATGTCATTTTCAGTGACTGTCACTACCATCCCTGCTAGCCAAGCTATGAATCCCAGCAGCCATGGCCAGACAATTCCTGTTCAGGCCTTTCCTGATGAGAACAGCATCGAGGACGCGCCCTCAAAATGTTACTGCCGGTTGAAAGCCATGATCATGTGCAAAGGATGTGGAGCTTTCTGTCACGATGATTGCATTGGCCCCTCCAAACTGTGTGTCTCCTGCCTCGTCGTTCGGTAATAAGACTACAACGTATGTAAAGGAGGGAAGGGTAGGTGTAACCAGATGTGTTCTTGCACCCTTTTGAAATCACAGAAATAAAGTTTCAGTTGTCTCAAGAGACGTTAATCAGGAATGCAGAATGCAGGTCTTCATATTTACAGGAAGCGCACCTTGTATAGTAAGTCTGAGTCAAGTAGGACTATGAATTGGTGACAAGTTTGCACTTAAAAATCATGTAAATATGTCACATTTTGTTTTAACATTGTTTTCCAAGTATTTAGGTAATGATGTGTTAACTTTACATTCAGATTTATGTTCCATTTCTTTTGGCTCTGAAATAGTTGTGTGGTATGCATGATGAAAGGAAGCTGTCTGCCTCTGACCTTTCCCAGGCTCAGGAAAGGGAAAAAGTGGTCAGGAAGTGAGTGACCATCATGCTGATTATGTCCTCACAGGCTGGCTGCAGGTCCTTCACAGATAGCATGCCTTTGTGGGATTTAGATTTGGGGTTTACTCATTCCTTTGCTTTAGGCGGAACCATTCTAAGAGGAATTTTTAAAAAGATATTCACATCCCAGACGGTGTTTTTGATCCTGACAGTCCTGACTTAGCTTTTGGCTTCCATGAATCAGTACTGTTGTCAAGCCGAGCTCTGCTGTTGCCTTGACAGTGGATGCTATTTAAGAAGGGTCTGCCTCTAAAGGACTCCTGTAGTCATTCTAGTCTGTGCATTCTAGTTCCAGCAATAATACATCCTGACACTGCATCATTCATGGGCTCCCACAAACATGTCTGAACTACAAGTGTAAAATAAAATGCACAAACACAGTGGTGTGTGTGTGTGTGTGTGTGTGTGTGTGTGTGAGAGGGAGAGGGAGAGGGAGAGAGGAAGAGAGAAGTTTGTCTTGTTGGCAAAGGGGAATGAAACTGAAGAAGTTTAACTGAAACTTAGCTTGAGGAATTTGGAAGAGTGATTTTAACACTGGACACAAAGTATTTTCTTTTCCTATTCTCTCTCAAACCATTTCAGGTAGAAATGCTCTTTAGTGGGACCTCTTTTCTGCTTTGACATCCAGGCATGAGAGATGGATGCAGTGATCTTATGCCATCCTACATGTTTACATCCACACACGGAGAAAGAAGACAGTTTGCTGTTTTAGAAGTGAGTCTGCTACTCTAGAATTTCTGCTGTCTGGAGAGCCATGATGCCTGATGTGAAAGGGCATTATGAGTGACTAATCGAATAGCTGGCTGTGAAATTTTACAGTTTTTCTTTCCTTTTGATTATTATTCTTAAAATTCTTCTCCCAATACTCTGGAGGCAGATGCAGGCTGATCTCTAAGTTCCAAGGCCAGCTTGGTCTTTGTGATGAGTTTCAGGACAGCCAGGGTATATAAAGAAACAGTGTCTCCAAAAACCTAGATAAATTTTAAAAAAGTCTGTTTAAAAACAAAACAAAAAAAAAAACCTTCTGTAGTTGATGGACATGGTGACTCACACTTTTAATTGCAGTACTTGGGAGGCAGAGTCAGGCAGATCTCAGAGAGTTCAAGGCTAGTCTGGTCTACATAGCAAGTTCCAGGGCACACAGTGAGACACTGTCTTTAAAACAATACAAAGAACTAGAGACAAACTTTAAGCAAATACTACTTAAGTCACAGTTAAAGACAGTTAAGGAAAACAGTTCACCAGAATTTAGTATCAAATACTCAAGTGTGTTTTGTTTGATTTCAAGTCTCCTAATCTGAAGTGTGTGATGTAATATTGCAGCCCAGTACAGTTTAGTTTCAAAAGCTACTCATAAAACTCAGGACAGTTCAACCCTGTTAATTACATCACAGGTAAGGAGACAATACTTTGTTTTGTCTGCCTTGTGCTCATCCCTGGGCATCCAGCTTCTTGCATCACACACATGTGCTTCCTCAGTCCTTGCTCCAAACTCTGAAACTCATGTTTCATTTTTCTTTCCTGCTCTTGTGGCCCTAAACAATAACAGGCTCAAATTCTGTGTTCCAGAACCAGTCAAGACAGTAAGATGTCTTTCCATCTTACCTTTATTCCAGTAAATTTACAGCTAAGAGAAAGAAAGGCTGCAAGGATTTAGGGTTAAGGACTGTGTATGTTCTGAAGTGAAGGACCAGTAGGAAATAGAAGCCAGGGTTCTGCTCCCAAACCTTCAGGACCTTGGGTAGTCCCCATGGGACCTTAGAAGACCCACATCTGAGTAGTCTCCTTGTCTAGCCTGCTGGAAGAGGGTGAGTGATGCAGAATGGACCTGTTGCTGACTGTCAGTGACTAGTTTGTATTGGGGAAAGTAATTTTTCTACTTTCTACCTTGCTTACTAGAAAGGTTTTCTCCATGGTTTTGTTAATGTGAGAATGGTTGGATATTAGGGACTGTCTGGTCCATTTAAAAAGGAAACCAGCTAATTTGCATTCTTCTATTCCAAAAGCAGAACTTGCCAGCTAGGCACACTGCCTCAGGCTTGACAAGAAACAAATTAAGTATGAATCTATTTAAATGGTTTGTTTTAAAACATGGTTTCAGATAGAAGAGGAACGTTCATCTTATAAATGAACAGAAAAAAATTTCTGTGGCCCTTTAAGTTGAATTTGGTACTCTAGTACCTGTTAACACACTTTTTAGCTATTTTACCTTTAAATTAACTCTGAAATGGTTCAGTAAGTGTTAAGTTTATTCTTTGGGCTCTAGGTGGCAATTTCCAGTGAGCTTTAAATATCATTCCTGATCCACATGCCAGTGTGTCCCCTCCAGCCTTCACTGAAGTCACTTCTGCAAGAAGTTCTCTGGGAGAATATTTGTGATATGTCATCTCAGGGTAATTCTCAAGTGTTCTGAGTTGCCTAAATAGAACACTCCCTGAATTATAAAGGATTTTTTTAAATCAGAATTCTTTATCCTATTAGTTAGGGAGGGGGCACAAATAACCCGGAGTTGTTTGCCCTGCTTCAGTTCCTTAATCCCTGTGCCCAAGACACAGGGTTCTATGTAGCATTTCTTAAGAGTAAGAGCTGGCAAATGAGGAGCTTTTCTTGGGCGTGGCAAGGCTGCACTTCCCTGGGTATAAAGATGTGGATATTTGAGAGCCTGTCTCAAATGTAGATTAACAGCCAAAGGACGACCTCACTGTCTTCCAGGTGAAGGTGCGATGTCCTGCACGGAACAGGCCCATCAGTTACCATTCTAATTGCTCCATACTGCCTTCCTCCACTTTAGAAAATCTTAATGAGCTCTTTGGTTAAATGGTTCATTAGAATGAGAGACTTCCTCTGGTCATTATACTGCTATTTGTTTTAGAGCTCATTGCTAATGAGCAGTGTCAGTTGTTTTCTCTCTGACTTCACATCATAACAAGAAGGAAGCTTCCCATTGCATCACAACAGTATGTGCTAAGTGGAAAGCTTGGCCATGGGTAGTTTGTAGCTCAATTTATAGAACAGTCCAAAGAGACTTTGCAAAAACATGATGACAGGCAGGGACCTTTTCCTATGTGTTTCAATACCTACATACCTATTGAACAAAACAGTAGGTAAACATTTCCTAAAGTTGAAGCAATAGCTTCATAGAGTCTTGGTTACTTTATTTTTTTTAATGCTTTACATTTGATACAACTATTAAAGATCAATTTTAAAATAACTTTCCAGTAATATATTTTAAGTAATATATATTTTAATATCTATGTAAAAAGTGACAGTGGAAGACGGAATTTCTCATATGTGGTATGTTTAATGTAGGATCTCACTGTTAAGGCACAAATTATTTCAAAGGAGTTACTCTAAAAACACTCAGATTATTTCCCCCCCCCAAAAAAAAGAAAAGAAAAATGCAATAAGGGGAATGATTTGGGGGCTTTATTTTTTATTTTAAAAGAAAATAGACTTATTTACCACAAGCTATTTTTCCCTCTCTGATGATAAGGTTTGTACAGACTGGTTTGGTAAATTCCAAATTTTTGTGTCATTTGCCTTTTTAAAGGAATTGTTAACATTGGAATTGAGGGTATGTACAGAGAAGTTGGTGTCGACGCCATTTAATAAGTCATATTTTTTCACAAATAAGGAAAAATCATTTTAATAAGAATTTTAAGTATTTGCAATAAATATATGTATATAGATTGTATGTATTCATATATTATTTTTCATTTTATTATTAAGTAAAAGATAATTAAAAGTGAAATTTAAAACCTTGTAGTTTTTTGGTGAATCTTGAGATCTGACATCTGGATGTGACATGGGGAAGGGCCCTCAAATAGTTGCCTTAAACAGTTATGGTAAGGTCACCACAGACTGGGAAAGAGGAACTGAGGAACTTGACAGTAAGTCAGGATAGTGTATCTCAGAACTTAAGTAAAAATATTAAAACTTCATGGCTTATCTATCTTGTGTTTTCACCCTCATCTGTTCTTTCTCCTAACCACGTACTATCCCTGGAAGGGTGAGAAAAGCAGTAGTCTCTTGTAGAGTACCTGTGGTTTCTTCTAACACCAAGGGAGCTAAAGAGATGTTGGGGGAAACAGGCTTTTTTTGTATAGCAATTGATGCTTTGTTAGATATTGCTCCCACTACATACCAAGCCCTGGGGCTGTTGAAGAACTGGCCTCTTAAAGATAAAAAAGGCTTGTTTTCTGTTGCTCAGTCATTCTCCAAGGTGAGTTTCATAGCCAAATTCATGGCCTGCTTGACTGATGTAGGCAGGTCAAAAGCTTCATTCTGTGTCAGAGGAACATCTGTGCTTGATTAGGTTCTGTTTTCATGTAATTGTGAGGATGGCTTGTATCAAGAAGAGCATTTAGGGAAGTGAGTAGTGGCAGAATATTTGAATTTAATTATCTTTGGTATCACACCTGGATTACTGTTTTGGTGTTTCCCTGTGATACAAGCTCTAGGGAGTAGAGCAAGGCTCATCTGGAGATTTCCTGGCCAATTAAGCACCAGGTTCAGTGAGAAAAACCCTGTCTCAAAAATAAGGTGGAGAATCGAACTCTACATGTGTCCATGCAGGCAAGTATGCTTGAATACACTTGTGTGCACAAACAAAGGAAATTTTGTTAACTCAGGGAACATGTATCTGTGTCATAAAAGCAATGAAGGTGAGATATTTACATGTATTGTGGCCATTAAAATAATTCCCATTTTTATAGTGGTGCATATTGAGCTCAGTCCCATAGTCATGTGATATGGGACTCCATTTACTTCCAGAGTCTTGAAAACCTATGTTCATTGCATTTTACATTACTTTATCTCAATTGCTTTTCAGTCACATTGGACACTTCTCAGCTTTTATATACAAATCCTGTTACTTAAGTATTTATTGGGTGCTTATGTGCTCAGTGTGGCCAAAGTGCTCAATATACAAGGATAAGAAAAAATTCACCTAAACAGTTCTTCCTAAAATTGCAACCCTGCAGCACTGGCTGTAGATTTTAGTATTCAATTAATCAATGCTGTGTTTCCCAAAAGAAGTATAAGTGAATTGTAAATTAGAAACTTTGATCACTGAACAAAGCAGTAGTGACATGAAAAAAAGGCACTGCCACTGGGCCCCGTAAGGGGCCACATTAATAAGATGTACCTTTTGGGATCCTTGGAGTATAGAGAGGCAGGTTAAATAAACAGCTGGGGCACACACAGCTTTAGGGAAGTTTTAAATGTTGAGTTTCATATTCCTGCTGAGAAGAAACCGAGTCCCTTCATTTGAATTCTTGTGTCCTTGTTTTTTTCTCCATGATGGATGGATAGGATCACTTTAATAAGCAATCTCAATATTGTAGAATTGCCCTTAAGCTGCAGGATAAAAATGCACTTCAATCTCTTTTCCTTAGGTCCCAGTCCTAATTCTCTAGGACTTTCTGGGAGGTAAAAAGTCATGGTCAGAACTTGCTCTTGAATTTTCCTTACCTCTTTTCTTTAACAAGATGTTTGGGTTCACAACCTGATTTCTGTATGCCAAAAATAATCTGTATCCACGCTTCAAAGGGAGGCTCAGTGTATTTCACCAAGCTCTGTCCAGGACACTTGCTGCCCTTGGGACATCTCACAGAAGGAGTGAGTGAGTATTTCCCTATACAGTAGTTTCACCCTTCCCCCTAAGACTCCCCTGGGGAGTTCCCAGAAGGCTTTTAGAACAAGAAAAAGGAACCCTGAAAAGGCCAGATGGTCAGTTGTGGAGGCTGACTGTGACTAGATAGTGGCTTCTCCCCAGCTCAGTCTCGTTTCCCTTGTTCTCGACACTCAAAGAATCTGAGGGGTAGAAATAAAAATCAAAAGCTTGATTTTCATCTTCATTGCAAAACTTAAAGGATCTCTTGGGGAGAAGAAGGATAAACCCAAGATGGGGTTTTTTAATGGACTCCGGTAAAATTTCAGTTGAGTGCCTTAAGTCCTTTTAAAAGATCACAGGTTCATTAACATGAGTCACCATGAGTGTTGCATGGAAGTTGATTTGGGACATGGACTAAAATAATAGTTTTCTGTGAATAATGGCAGCTTTTGCCACAAGTCAGGGCTTTGGGCTATGTGTCTGTATCTGAACTTCATGAACCCTGTATTAGTCCAACTGAAGCCAACACTCAGTTTTATTAAGTTTAATCAAGATTCTTCTGAAGATGTTAGGATTTATTTCACACATAGCCTAGATCCTTCACATGGAATGTGTACGATATAAAATTACTTTAAAAACCAAAGTTTCATTTTTTCAGAAGACCTATAGTTTAGGACTGAAATTGGAGTTTCCCCTTCAAGTTAGCAATTCTTTTCCAGTCAGGTTTTCAGGGAGTATTAACATTTGAAGACTTCAGTAGTGACCCTGCTAAGCCCTGTATGTCATCACTTTAACATCTAAAATGGAGTTCTGCCAGAGTTCTGATCCATCACCAGTGGTCAGGGGAGGGGAGGAGGGTGTGGTCCCATGCCTGAAGTTCCCAGCAGTTGGCAGGTGAAGGCTGCAAGATGAGTCCAAGATCATCAACTATGACAAGTTCAGGACCAGACTGGGCTACTTGATACCCTTTCTCAAGAGGAAATGTCCTGGGCTGGGAATATGATGCTTAATCAAACTGTTCTTGGAAAAATGCATGACAATTCTTGAACACATGAAAGAGCTAGAGTACACAACAAATGAATCTCTACAAGTTAGAAAGCATCCTATAGCCGTAAGTACTTTAATGTGTTCTCAGAACTCCTAACTGGGTGAATTTCTACAGCACACTTTTCACCAGCAGCAGGAGAGTCAGAACAGAAGAGATGGGCTTAGCATTACTTGTTGACTGAAATCTTTGTGCATGTAGGCCTCAGTGCTTTGATACACACTATGCCTTTCAACTCCACACTATTGTCCGTTCCTTTCACTTTCTACTCTTTTATTGGTACTACAGAAGCTGTTCTTGAATGTATGATATGGTTCTGTCTTAATGACTTGTTGAATAAAGGCATAGAGTTTTACTCTTAATTGTTGTGCCTTTTCTTTCCTAAAGGAATGGAACACATGGTTCATGGCTTACTTGCTGCTGGTCTCTTCCTTGGCTTATCACTTAACTGTAATGTTTCTTTAGGACACATTCAAAAGGAGTTCAGGAACTCAGTTTAAGCCCTAGCCTATCTTTAAAATACAACAGGAAAAAAATATTTAGATTGGCTTATTTTACCACCACTGTTATGAGTTTGGGATTTTCATCTCTCAAGATTATACATGTTTTTCTAGACTGATTTACAGCATGCTGTCAATGGATCCATCATAATACTTAGTCCAACCTTGACCCTGAGTCCTCAGATGTCCACTGATGGGAACCCCCCCCCCAAAGATTGTATGGGCTCACAGCCAGAAATGTTAATAATGGACCTTTACAGCTTGATTCTCAATCCTAGCACCAAGCTCACTCTCTTCTCCCAGGAAAATTTACCTCAGGGTTGAGACAGAAGGGAAAGGATCTTTCAGAAGACCACAGGTAGCTTTGCACTATGGGAGAATGGGGCTGCAGGTGTCACTATTGTGGAGAGAACAGATGTCAAAATTGAGATAAAGCCTAAGCTGCAGATACCCTTGGCTCAAAGTCAACCGGGAGAGTTGGTCTTGAATGAGCTCGGAGTGAAGCAAGAAGGATGCTAGCTATTGAATTGCGCCTGCAGATATCATGTGTATCATTAGATCCTTCAATTAGAATAGGGGGCTCGTCACAATAGGATTGTTTTAGGTGTAAGTTTTCTGTTCCTTCCTGCTGGTCACTTAGATGCAACAGGTGGCAAAAACTAGGATGGGGACTGTATGACAGCTTTAATACCCAGCACATGATGATGTGAGTGCTGTGACATCCCTGGCACTTTCAGGGTAGAGTTGGTACTAATAATTGACAGTTTGCACGGCTTGGATGTATACAGATGTCCTAGTCAATTTAAGCACTCCCATGTGCTAGAAAGAACATGAAGTCTTTTGTGGGGAGGGAGAAAGGGGAACTGAGTGTGGTGGTGCACGCCTTTAATCCCAGCACTAAGGAGGCAGAGACAGGTGGATCTCTGAATTAGAGGCCAACCTGGTCTATAAAGCAAGTTCTAGGCTAGCTAGGGCTGTTAAAACAGAGAAACCCAGTAACTTGAAGGAATATAAAGAAAGTTTGGTCACAAGGAATCAAGAGGTATGTTTTCTGGTTTTCAAATTTTTGCAGTAAAAGTAAATGCTTCTATTTTCAATAGCAAATGTATGAAAGTATATGTCCTATTTTGCTTTTTTGTTACTGTGATAACACACTAATCAAAAGCAACTGAGGGAGGGAATAGCTTATTTTAGCTTATAGGTTATAGCCTACTATTGGAAGAAAGCAAAGCAAAAACTCAAGACCAGAGCATGAAGTAGAAACCAAAATAGGAACACTGGTTACTGGCTTGCTTCCCATGGTTTGATCAGCTTGCTTCATTATACAGCCCAGGACTTGACACTGCCTGAAGTGGGCTGGGCCCTCATGAATCAGTAATAACAGGAACAACCTTGTGCTTTGATCCACAGTGGTGACCTGCCTGCACGATATGTTGGTGGGGTGGTGGCACAACAACTTGGCAGTGGAGGCACACACCGTTAGTTCCAGCCCCCCCAAGAATACATGGAGAAACCCTGACTTGAAAAACTGAAGAAAAAAAAAAATCTATGCTGCAAGCTACTAATCAAAACTAGTTCTGGCAAGAAGACAGGTCCATTGTGTAGGGTGCCCCAGAAAAAAACTCAGAGGCAAATGATTTTCAACATGTCATGATCAGTTAGTAGGAAAGGGCAGTTCTCAAAAAATGTGAACACTTGTTAACTTCATTGTTCATGTGTAAAATAATGAGACCCTTATCTAATGATTAGAAATTAAGTCAATCAGAAGAAAACAGAACATGCTTTATAATTGGATTTGACAGTGGTTTTCTGGATATGAAAAGCCAGAAAAGGAAAACAGTGGATACAAACTGAGCTTAAGCCAGGCATGGTGGTACATTCCTTTGATTCCAGCACTCAGGAAGAAGGGGCAGACTGATCTCTTGAATACCACGATAACCTGGTCTACATAGTAGTTCCATGCTACACAGTGCTACTAGTGAGATCTTTTCTCAAGAAAATGGAAAAAAAAATTAAAACAGCTTAAAATTTTGTGCATCAGCTGGGCAGTGGTGGCACTCACCTTTAATCCCAGCACCTGGGAGGCAGAGGCACGCAGATCTCTGTGAGTTTGAGGCCAGCCTGGTCTACAGATCGAGTTCCAGGACAGGTTCTAAAGTACAGCAGAGAACATTATAAATAGAATGAGAAAGCAACCTGGAGAATGACAGAAAATACTTGCAGATGATACCCAATAAGTTCTGGACATATGAAATAAAAGAGGTAGGGGCTGTCTTTTTGTGTATTTGTTTTTAAGACGGGGGTAGGGGGCAGTCTTTGTAGCCGTGGCTGGCCTGGGACTTGCTCTGTAGATCAGGCTGGCTTCAAATTTACAGAGATCCGCCTGCCTCTGCCTCTCAAGTACTGGGATTAAAGGTGTGCACCACTACCTCCTGGTTTGAGGGACTGCTGTAGTCACTGTTCATGTGATGAGACACCAAGACCATGGCAACTCATAACTGGGCAGGCTAACAGTTCAGAGATTTAGTCCATTATCATGGCAAGGAGCATGGGTCAGACATCATCCTGACCCACCGAGAATGGTGGGGAGAGAGTGTGCCTGGGCCTGCCATGGGCTTTTGAAAACACTAGTGGCACTTCCTCAAACAAGGTTATACATCCTAATCTTTCTAATCCTTCTCAAATAGTGCCACTCCCTGATGACTAAACATTCAAATATATGAGCCTATGGGAGCCAATTCTTATTCAAACCACCACAGGGGCAAAAGATTTGAATAGATTTTTTTTTTTAATCCTGAAGTCCAGTATACAGATGGCAAAACAAAAATGTCTTTGCAAGTACTAGGGGAAAATGGAACCCTTATGCCTTAGTGGTAGAAATGTTCAAGACTAGCCGGGCATTGGTGGCAGATGCCTTTAGTCCCAGCACTCGAGAGGCAGAGGCAGGTGGATCTCTTGAGTTCGAGACCAGCCTGGTCTACAAGAGCTAGTTCCAGGACGGCCTCCAAAGCCACAGAGAAACCCTGTCTCGGAAAAAAAAAAAATGTTCAAAACTGACTAGTGGGTTAACAGTTCCTGTTTCACCTTTGTGACAAGCACTTGGAGGAGGAAGTCGTTGTTGTAGCTCCTGGTTTCAGTCCATGGCCAGACATTGCTATTGCTTCTGTACAACAGTGGCAAGACAAGGTGTAGTCATGACAGAAGGGACGTGTGGAATAGAGCTGCTTACCTCATAACACGGGAAAGCAGAGAGGCTGGGGTGTGGAGGACCAAGTACACCTTTCCAGTACATGACCCTTGTGAACTATTTCTTCTAGCTCGGCTCCATCCATTTTCTCTCCCCTCTCCAGATAGGACCAATATGATCCTGCAGTGTGCACTTCACATTCAAGCTGTATTATCCAGCAATTAGAAGTCTGGGGATATAGCCAGAGAAGTAAGAACAAAGGGACTCTGATCTTTATTTTTGAGACAGGTTCAAACATACTTGTGCACCAACGTTTGTGGTATTACAATAGCCTTAACAGAAGCAACCCAAACCTTCACTAGCAGATGGGAAAAGGTGTTTTATAAATACAGTAGTAGAGCATTATTAAGCCTTACAGTGGGAGGAAAAAGTGATATTTGGCAACATGTCCAACCTTGAAATCATGCCCAATAAATAAGCCAGACACAAAATAGATAATTACTGCATGATTCCAGGAATGTGAAACTCTCAGAGCAGTCAAAACCACTGCCAGGAATGAATGGATGAAAGAAAATGGGAATCATGTTTAATGGGCTCAGAAGTTCTAAAAAATATGAAAAATTGTACTGTGGTAGGTATTATAGTTTTGATTGCCAATTCCCCACGGTGTAGCATTATCTAGGAAGAAAGTCTCAGTGAGGACCTATGTTATATTGGTCTATGTACATACCTATGATGGATTTTTCTTAATTGCGTTGAGGTGGGAAGCTCCATCTTGAAAGTGGGTGGCACCATTCCCTAGGCTGGGCCCTGCATGTAAACAAGTTGCTGAGCCATTGTTTGCCTGCATTGTCTGCTCTGTGCTCCTAATTATGGATGTGACATGACCAAGTCCCTCAAGATTCTGCAGCTGTAAGTCAGGGTGAGTTGTCATAGCAACAGGAAACAAAACTAATACAGCAGGCTTCACAACAATGTGAATGTACATTATGTAAGTAATCATTGCTATATTTTGTGGATATGTGACTTACATAAATGCCACCTGTGTGCCATATGTACACATGTGTGTGGTCTTTATATGAGCATGCAGAGTCGGAGGAAGATGTTGGGTGTCTTGCTTTGTCAGTTTTCTCTTGTTCCTTTGAAACAGGGTCTCTCACTGAACTTGGAGCTAGGATAGCAAACAGCAAGCCCCAGTGATGTTACTGTCTCTGTCCCCAACCACCACCACCACAGTGGTGGGGGTTGGTATTTGTTATTAGCTTTCACTTCATCATACATTTCTTTTAAGATTTTATTTATTATGTATACAACATTCTGCTTCCATGTTCATCTGCACACAAGAAGAGGGCACCAGATCTCATAACAGATGGTTGTGAGCCACTGTGTGGTTGCTGGGAATTGAACTCAGGACCCCTGGAAGAGCAGCCAGTGCTCTTAACCTCTGAGCCATCTCTCCAGCCCCATCACACATTTCTTTTGGCCTTGGCTGTTTTTGTCCCCAGTGCTAGGTGTTGAAACTAAAGTCTTTCCGACAAGCATTCTACCACTGAGGAATATCAGTCCCCAGCCCCCTCAACTCACTTGTTTGGCATCCATCCGTGTTGTCAAGTGTATGAAAAGCTGATTCCTCTTTATTGCTGGGCACTATTGTGTGGTTGTTTTACA